ACCGAAATCGAAACTCGGGAAAAGTTATCCGAACCGAAGCCGATCGAAACAGAACACGTGGCAGATAAAGCCGAAATCGAAACCGAACTCATTTCGGTTCGGTTGCCGGGGCATGGTTGCCAGTCCCGGAAATTTCAGCTCACCGCTGATGAAAGTTCTGCGTATTTCATCAAGGGACCAATTTTCCGACTTGCATTCTACGAGTGGATAGTGAATGAAGTAGGAATTATTTCCCGTTCCAGAATACAAACGGCCTCCATCGGATCTCATGCTACCGCTCTTCTTATCCCTGGTGGTGTGAATAACCTCGACACCATCCTCCTTGTAGAAGCGTAGAAAGCCAAAAGTGATTGACTCCGCAGTTAGTTTAGCACAAGCAGAGCTGCTGGGGCTGCTCTCTTCGCACTCTCTTTCGTCCACATCGTGGAGATTGTCAATCTCGGCCTCTGATTCGGCACTATCCATCCCAAACAAAAGTTCCTCCTGTGGTGGCGCGGAGCTAGCAGGAGAACCGTAGAAAGGTATGTGTAAATGCCGGAACCGTCGAGGTCAAAATTGACTCAATTATTGGGGTTGATACGTTATACTGTATAACTTATACATACTGATTGGGATCCGTCTCCCTCCTGTGACTGATGACTCGATTCGTGAGCAGACATTAAGTAGGAAAAGACGATTCAACCAACTCAATGAACGGATTGTACGCAGCGCAACTGTGCACGCATACACATAGTAGCATGCGATGCGCGCGCCACATAACGTTATCGGACGAATGACATGAAATAAGGAAACATTACAGCAGCAATGGAGCTATGTCTAATCAATACCTTATCCATCAATACAATATCGTCAAGCTCAGATGAGTCTCCAAGAATGAAAGTCCTCAGAACCGCAACTTTGAATACATCATCAGCCGCGACCCTGAGAGAGGTTTGGAATCGCTTACAGCACCAGCAATCTGTGGATAGCAAAGCGGAAGTCACCGTAACCGCTTCATCTCTGTCAGCATCAATTTAATCTTGGACGATCTTGTACACGGTAGCAAAGCTGCGAAATTCAGGAACTTGACCAAACCCGCAGATTCTCCTGCTGAAACCCCGGTATTGATCACAGACCAATATTGCTGTGGAGTGAGCGTTCCGATCTTGAGCGCCGCGTGATCACCTGAGCGAAGAGCTAAAGCTCTTAGCCGATCGATGGCAGACATGAGACGTCGTGGCAGAGTAGTCTCATTGATTTCCCTTACTAGTAGTAAGTTACTACCGGACCTTTTGTAGAGATCTAGCAATACCTGCAGCGCCGCCTTTACGGAACACCGTTAGTTTCAAACCTTCCCACATTACCTCTTATGGATGTGTCTCCGGCAATTAAGTGTTCCCGGGGTGGGACGTCACCCCATAGTGTAAGGTTGAAAATTGCGCTGAAACACAAAATGACCCAGCGTTATACAACTGGCAACTGCATCAAATTACAGTGTATTTTGACACAGGTCCATAATGGTATGTTTAATGCACCACGATGAAGACGATAGAACACAGAGGCAGAGTGGGTGATGGTAACAAAGGGACGCAACCATCGATGAATCAATCAAGTAAAGCTCAACGACAGCTTTAGTCATGGGAAACAGTCCAATGGAAACGCGCATGTTCAACCGCTTAACTTTAGCGCACGCCCGGGTCTCCTCCAGTGTGGTTCTGAGTCAATGAAGGTCCATTTATGGGGCTAGTTCAAGGACGAATGTATTGGGATTTACTGTTAGATGGGAACGAGCTCAGAGACCTCCTCATGGTGTTCCTGGAAACTCAACTATAATGCTTTATTTTTTTTCTTTTTTTCTCTCTAAGTTTTATGGAGGGCTTCTAGATTATCTCCATTTGAGTGGTTTCACAACACCCTAGTTTATTGACCTTCGTGGTTGACCTGATGTTATAACTAGGATGTTGTATATAGGAGATAAAGTTTAGAAGCGCCACGGGTTTGAGAAACCAGTGGCAACCACCCAAACCTCCATATTACTGAACACAATATAGGTGGTTACAGTAAATGATTTACTGTAAATCCATAAATAAGGAGTTGAGTCACAGTTAATCAGACTTTGAAACGTGATTAGTAAGTGCAAATCATCTGCCAGCAGCTTGATTGAATAAGATAGTGACCCTCTGGCCTGCCAAGCTTTGGCATGCCAAGCGAAAAATTTCATTTTTCCTTATTTTTCCTTCATTTTTCCTCCATTTTTCCTTCATTTTTCCTTCAAATTTCAAATTTCCTTCCGGAGGAAATGATTTTTCTATTATTCCTTCCGCGTGCCACCCTAATTCCGAAAGGCCGAAGTATAAGCCAACACGATACGGAGTATTTACGGAATTTTTTGACACGACTCGATACTTGTTATTCTCCAGTGGAGAATCTCCACCGTGTTAATCTCAATCTCCACCGGCCCCGTCAGCCGGGGTCGCTCTGTCCGAGTCGGACAGATACTCGTGAGGGACATTCATCACGACCTGGTTGGAGACTGACTCAGACAACCAGTTCCCAAGGTGCTTACGCAGGGCGGCATCGTGACTACGATGCCGCTGAGACGGTCACAGACGGTCACAAACGTAGTCCGTTACTTCTCGGAAGACCATCGCCTGCGTCTCCGTAGAATGATGAATGTTAAAATCGGACCAGCCGAGCGAGAGGAGCACGTCGCCAGCACACATGCGCGACTTCAGCTTCCGCAACGAAGTCATGGCCGGCAGAGGGTTGGTTGGGTGTCCCGTCCACTCTGCATCATGCAGTGCCTCTTCCAGCTTGAAGGACTCCGGTTGTCCCTTGTGCCGGCAGCGATTGCGTCAATCGCTGTCCCAAACCAGGCTTCGCTGAAAGACAACTCTCTGGCATGGTTTCAACCGCGGAGAAGCTACGCTTTTCCTGAGCATCCTCCCAAGTGTTTCAGTCAAGACTTGATCAGTAACACTCGCCACTAGTAGTGGCCCACTACAGTTCACCCTTGTTAATAACAAGTTGTTATAGGGAGACTCTTGCTGCTTCTACCCGTCGTACGCTATTGCACGTATGTGCATAGCTTATAACCTATCCTACCGAATAGGTTAAGACAGGGATCTTCACAACTCCCCCCGACTTGTGTTATGGCCATTCGACTCTGATCAATATCGCCTGATCTCGATTTGATCCAACCTTGAGATTCGTCGTTCGGAGCTGGTCGATGATGCCTACTAAGCACAAGAGACAAGTGACCAGTAGACAAGTGGCACTCTGTCACTGGCACACCGGGTATGCGGCCAGTATTGCTATCTTATCAAACCTTCGCCTTCAATGTGCTGAGCATAGCGTGACGTCCGTACAGAACTCAAGTGCAGGTAGTGCGCTTATTGTTATTGTCCTAGGGTCGTAGTATTAGCTGCTCTAGCTCGAGCTCCCTTGTTGTGTTGTTCTTTGAGTTCATCAACTGATACCGCGACAACGAGACAAGATTGTGATTGACTACTAGTGGCAGTCGCGTCACGCGTCTCCTGGCGCACACGCGTGTTTTGTTAATGTTATGAACAGTGTATGTTCCCTCACTATCAATGCGCAACGGCTATATGCTACTCATTATCGCAGCACTATGCCAAGGTGCTCCGGTTGACATCTCGCGCGGTCTCTCGGGGTCCCCCGCGTGTTCAACGGATTATTGCTGGAAGTTCTGTCCACCCGACTGCCTATGCACAGTCACATTCTGGAATTGCGACTGTTCCTGTGGAGGCCCCCGTTAATATCTCTTACAGCGTTCCGCTCTTGGGAAGCTCTCTGTGCTGAAGTTGCTCTCACGTGCGTGCGACTGCGTGAGTCGTCATCACCCGAACACAATCGATCACGCTATGTGTGTATGCCCCATTGCTCATTGCTTGTGCTTTGGAAGCCTCACGAATTGCCCATTATTCTTTTTGGTCGAACTTATTGATTCATATGATATCGGTATCAGATATTATCACCCTCATTACCTAATGAATGACTCCGAACCCTCAAATGATCCTGAGTTGTCACTGGGAAGGACCATACTTGAGCCCCAAGACGCTACACTCTGAATACGGTCTTTCCGGACGTATCCTTTGTTCCAATCATCTGGAGACTATTCCTCCCCTCTTGAACCATCGTCGGCTGTGTGTTGATTCTGTGCTCCAGTATGACAGCTGCATTATGGTCGAATACTGAGCTCAGATGTTATGTTAATGCGGGGTTTCACTAAAACTCTAGTGAAACCATTCAAATGATCAAAACGTATCTTTCGTGCTAATGTCCTGTTAATGAGTCACTCATTATGAGTGTGTGCATGCGTAGCACGCGTGATGTTGTGTATGGAGTAGTACTCCAGGAGGTAGTCACGGCGTGATTGTCACGCTGCGATCACTTCTGTCCTTAAAACTAACGTCGTTTATTAAAGTCGTTAAGTTTTTAAAAAGATCAGCTATTTCAATAGAATTTTGGGTAGTTTATTAAAACCAATCGGTTAAAAGTTTAAAAAAGGCATTTTTCAAAAGAAGTCGGTGAATTATAAAAATTTCGCTAAAATATCGATTTGACCCGGAAATGTTGTAGAATATAGCACATTAGGGGACAGATGAACATAAAAGATTTCATACAGAAGAATAGGACTGGTCGAGTTCGTATATGAATTCAGGTGTAAGTGCAACGCTACCAATGAGATTTCCTCGGAATTTTCACAGTTATCACCAACACATGTAGTTGACATGGTCAACTTAGCCATATGCATACTTTCCCACACCGTCATTCACAATCACTTCCTCAGAGGAAGTGATTGTGAATGACATACAGCAGAAGAAATTCCTCTGCTGTATGTGGTCCTTCAAACAACGTGTGATGACCTTAGTTTGCCTTTGACCTTAGTTTGCCTTTTATGGTTGAAGCTTTGACCATCAATTGTTCTTAGATAAGGGCGAAATTGGTTTATTACAAGCAGAAGAGGTTATTGCAAGCAGGGATTGCGAGAGCCATGCACAGCTTGTTATTCCAAGCAGCGCGGTGTGCTTGGGATTACAAGTAACTATTGTAACTTGCTTCGCCG